CTTTATACATGGGTTAGACCAGTGAGCTAACAGTCCTAGGATGTGGCTGGTGAATTTCAAACATGTCAATTAACCAAATTTATTCCTATCCTGAAAATTTCTATTTCATTTTGCATGTTGCCCAGATGTATAGTTTTCTGTGGACGCTGAAAACGTTGCCTCTTCCCGTATGCTGTGAGATTGGTTCAATTTGATCATGACATCACTTCCTGGCTTCTTGAGCTCCTTTTCCATAGTGTTACCTTAGTATCTTACTAGCTCTTCTAGCTGCTTTCCAAGCTCTGAAATCTATCCCCTCACAATCATCCTCTCCTTATTTACCTGTCTCAAGAGAAAGTGGCCCGATTATTTATAAAATCCCAATCTAAAACAGTTCTTACAATTTATGACATCCTTTGGAAGACTTTCAAAGGACTGGACTTTCCTAAAATTGTCTCTAGCCCATGGAACTCTCCGTGCTGTCTTACCATTGCCCCCAGTGTTAATTACCACCAACAGGGACTTGTCAGATGATTTCATGAGCCTGTCCATGCCTCATTCACATCTGTCTCCAAGGAAACAGCGCTCCACTGTGTTCTGTGTTAATTCTGACCTCTGTTCTTAAAAGGAAGTTTCTTACTAGTAACCCGAATATTTGACATAGCTGAAATAGTTGATTATCACGTGCAAGTTTTGGGAGGCTTGGTGCCACAGGTACCTAAGACTGGGGCATGTTTTAGTCTGAGAAATACCTGCACAGGGCACTCTCACTCTGCCTCACGTGCCAAACTAATGCACAGCTGTGCCAGGCACAGCAGTCTTTCATAACCTCTCCTCATTTTAGCTCCCTCTCCAAAAGAAAGAGATGGAATTACTGAAGTAAAGAGGTGGCAGCCCTGGAACAAGTGTGTATGGGTACCATAGGTCCCAAGCAGCTCTGGTGACTAAGTAACATCTTCGAGCTCCTGTTCTGATTTAGAGGGATTCCAAGAGATGCCCTCCCAGCCACCCTGTACCACCACAATCCTTAAGTCACTGGTGAAGTTCTTTGTGCAGACAACCTCAGCATCAGTCTGCACCATTCCTGGCTGCTCTTGGGGTCATGCTTGATGAAGGCAATGAGTGGCATTCTAGGTGCTGACTCTGCAGCTGAAGATTAAAAAGCTAGCGATTAAAAGCACAGCTAAGGCTTCAGGGGAGGGGGTTTCACCATCCAGTGCAGCTCCGCCTTGGCTGATTCATAGCAGACTTTAAACGCGGCCTGTCATCTACTCTCAGCCCCTCTTGCCGAGCTGGTCCATGGCTCTCTCTTCAGAGGATGTCAATGACCACCTAAGCATATAAAGACTAAGGCCCTCTTGAGAAAAATGAAGCTTTTGTGGCAGAGCTATGAAGCTTATTAATCTCCTGGCTCAAATCCAGAAACAAAACCAAACTTCTGTGCAGCTTAGATATCTCCCACCCTCCTGGCTAAGAGACAAGATAAATGAACAGGTTACTGAGGGCTCAAAGGTTGCTCCAATAAGGCTGTCAGCACCACATTTAGGTCCATCTAAGGAATCCTGAAACAGGGAAAAACTAACTCACACAAAGCTGAGTACTGTGGGACTGATGACAAAGAGCCCTCAGCAGAAGGGTGCTGGGTGTAAACTACTGGTAAGTGGACCTTAACTGAACAGACAGACAAGTCAGACTTTTTCAGTTCTGAGATATGATCTAAAATAAATTGAATCAAGGGTGAAGTGAAGGGAGGGAGGGAGAGGGCTCTCATCTGCCTGAACACAAGGAGGAAGATCTTGCCTATTTAGCAGTTAGATGGCTGAATGCTTTCTGGAGCCAGTAAGAACATCCCACATCCACGTGGTGAGGTGCAAGGAGGGCAGGCGCTCCCTGCCCTCTCTATGGAAAGAGCTGTGAGTCTTCATGAGGAAACTCATGCACCTTACAGCATAATGCCTAGCACCTTCTGTTGAAATCCTTTGCCAAAAGACTGATCTCAGCACAGCTTGCATGTAGAATAGCAGCCAAGACAGAGCACTGTGTCTTTCACCCCGACTCAAAGCCTGACAGGGTCCCTTAGTGCCTCACTGAGGTAGGATAATGACAAGTGGGTCTGTTCCAATTAGGGGACAACCCTTGCCTCAAGGGAAGGTTTTCATGCCACTCCCATTGCTGATATAGAAGTCAAGCCTGTTCTCACCTACACACAATAGTCCAAACGTTGGGGAGGGAGAAGACAGAGCAATCACTAGCAGCTTGGTTTGTCATGTTCCCAGGCTGCCCAAGTGAGTCTCCACCAGCAGGGACTTGTGCAGGGTGGGGAAGCTGAACAGGCCTGCCTAAATATTCAATGGGAGGACCTCACTGCCAATTCAGAGAGACATGATCCTAAAAGGATGGTCTTGGACAGCTATTCACAGAGGTGACTGGACAGCAGCCACATCTGAAGAGTCCTGAGATGGAAGCTGACAGAGGGACTGCCTGGATGCGCACTGCCATGGGACACCATTCAGCAAGACACATCCTTACTTGACCTGTACCTGGGCAATAAACCTGTCCACATTAATGCATGGGCGCTGAGCAAGACAAACCTTTGTCCCCTGCGTGCCAAGGTCTGCTCTGGTGTGCTAGGTACCACGCTAGGCTCAGCTGAGATATGTTCACTGGTGAGCACAATCAGCTGGAGACAGTGAGCAACCAGCTCCTCTAAAGTTCATTTCAGCAACTCATCAGCCAGGTCAAGGTTAAGAAAAGGCCCCCTCCACCCACTGCCAAGCTGCTCCTGCAACTGAGACCTTGAGAAATTTCAGGCTAAACGCAAAGATTTTGAATGGGTTGTGGTCCAAGGCCAAAGGTGACCCATGATTATTCCTTGTGAGATGAACACAGACCAGAACGTGTTCAGAAAGAGCAAGCAGCAAGACCTAGGTCTCCTCTAGACAATTGCTTCTGATATTGCTTCTTATGTAGGTGCTGGTGAGAGCAGTCCTGGGAAAGGGATGAGGCCAGGGAGATGAGATGCAGCACAGTGCTGTATAGTTCCTAGATACTACGGCACCTGGCAGTTTTCATGCTGGAGAAAAGCAGGCTAAATACTCCACAAAAGGAGAGGAACCTTCAGGGAAGGGTTAAATAAATGGAAGGTCCACCTCTCCTCATATCCAGCATCAAATATGTAGAGTTATCACTGAGTGGATTATCCACAGAGGAAGCCAGACTTAGCCAGCCAGCCAATCACAGAGATCTCTGCATCAGAAAAAGGGCAGGAAAAGCTGCAAAGAAAGGTATGGGAAAGGGAACTGGCATGCACCAAAGAGCCCCTGGGCAGGATGTAAAATGATCTGGCAGCTACGGTGTGTGAGGGATCTTCTCTCAAAAGCAAAAGCTTGGGCACAGATTAATGTACCTCCTCTGTTTTTTGTTCCTTTAGGAAGGAAAAAAAAATAAGAAGAGAAGAGAAGAAAGTAATCAAAACAATCAGCCAAGATGAAACGGAAGAGAGGCCGCAGTTAGAGCAAATGCCCTGTCTCAGGGCAGACAGCTGAGGGGAGCCAGGGCCCGAGGCACCTACCTCTTTCTTGTTTGTGCAACAGCATGTTACAGGGGCAGAACGGGAGCACACTTCTGCTGCTATTAAATACTCTTCCAGCGTCCCGATGAAAGGTAAACGCAGCACCCAAAAGTTGAACCCCAGCAACTGCAGACTATCACCTACAGAACAGCAATTTCCCCATACGATCAGCAGTGCCTCAGCTGTACCCTGGCCTGGAGGTTTACCTAGCTACTAACTTGTCTTGTAATTAGCCAGATCTACTCAGACAGTTTAAGCTAAGCTGAAATGCTAACACATGCCTTAACACACCTTGCAGGCACATGCAATGGACCCCACCCTGCTTAAATGCTGACCCTCTGCATTGCGCTGTGCAAACGTGCAAGTGGTCACAGCCCAAGTGCACAGGAGCATTAGTTACCCGAGCCAAACCTATGGGGCTACCTATGGAGATAAACTGTTGTATCCTCTCCACCCTCCTCACTTTATCTACCTTACCTAATCTTATAGAGGATCCAAAGTCCCAGATGAATTCCCAGAGATCCTGCAAAATTCTATCGTGATTTACTTTATCTTCCCTTCAGGGCCTTTTGTTTTTGTAAGAAGCATTTCTCTCTGGAGCTTCTCCTGCCTGTGCTATGCAGCCTGGCTTCACTGACCTGCAGATGGCCCAGCAAAACGCTACCTCTCAGCAGGCCACCAAACCCCACCTCCCACCCTAGAGGATTCAAATGTCACATCACTGGAGGAAAAGGTGTAAGGTCCAGGCAGGTAAATGACACAAGGCATCTCCATCTCTGATTATGCCTGGGTTAGACATGGGGCTGAGGAAAGGTGAGAAGATGCTCTGGGACACTACAGTAAAGAGCTGATGCAGCAGAAAAGATCAAGCTATTAGACAGGAAGGTTCACAAGGCACAAGCCAGCTTCAGCTTTGTTTCTTCAGTAGAACTGAGACCGTGTCAGTCACTTAGCCTCAGCATTGCTCACCCATTCCTTCCCTCTGCCCTCAGCACCAGCCCTCCTGCTAACCACTGATTTTGTGCAAAAGCGAGTGTTTTTAAAAAAAAAAAAAAAAAAAAAAAGGAATTGGAGGACAGCTTGAGTGAGGACACACACACTGGCCTGTGGCAAAGGAGGCACAGATGCCTCAGAAGCAGGTGCCATCAGTGTTGGTTCTGATAGAACAACTTGGTTCAGTTTTATTTTTAACATGGAGTCTGGTCCATGCAGTACTGTTACATATGGCCCTTGGAGGGTTTGTGACTCCAGAAATGGGGATCTTTGCCAACATTTTCCTGCCACTCAGACCAGGCACGTCTGAGGGATAGAAGCGTCCCCGAGGGAGGCCCCAGCTGAAGTAAGCTTGGAGCAGGGTCTGGTAGAGGAAGCCCAGAGGGAATTTCTCCTCCTTCAAGTAGCACGCTCCAGCACCTGCTGCAGCACAGTGAGAGCCCACACCCAGAGAAGCTGTAGAAAAGGTAACTGTCCCATTTAATGATCCCTCATTTCCATAACAAACACATACATGTGCGTCACACACGCACCACGAACGCGCAGCAAAGCAAAGTGCATGGCGAGCAGGACTCGGTCCCTGCCCTGGAGGAGGAGAGGCTCTTGGTACCTGGTGTGGTGTGGTACAGGGACCACACGCGTGCTCAGTGAGCAGTAAGGATAGAGAGTCCAGGGCTCGGTCCAGTTGGCACCAGTATCAGGTCCAGTTTGCAGAGAAGTACAGCTCTGGTTCTGCTTCTGTGCGGCACAAAGTGGGCAGGAGGGGAGGGGGCAAATCAAGTACACCAGGACAGAGGCTGGAGGAGGTGCGCGTGGGAGGACCTGGGGACAATTCCTGGAGAACAGTGCTGTAGTAAATGCGGAGCCTCCCTGCCTGAACCGCAGTTAAACCAAAGCAGGGAAAGGGAATAGAGAGGGGGCTGGAGGATGAGGAGACCAGACATAGGCCCTCAGGTCTATCTAGCTATTCCCATTTACAGGACAGCCTGTTGCAGGGTGGGGGGTGGGGGGGTGATCTGCCACCCACCCCCAAATGGGGGTCGCATGGGTGACAGAAGTTTACCAGAGGTCCATGTCCCTCTTAGTCTCTCCCAGGCGTGGCTCAGACACCCCTTTGCCAGGAAGGGGGGGGGCTGAAGAAACAAGGCCTCCCCTAATTATCTGATGGACGCATCACTGGGTGGGTCACGATCAGACTCCTCACTCTCCTCGTTCGGGGCTGATTCACTGTTTGAGGCTGGGGTGAAGGCAGGAGACTTCCTAGAAAGAAGGATAAAGGGCTGCCGTCAGATCAGTGCTGAGGGGAAGGGCCAAGCATTTCCTCCAGTTGGGGCACCAGAGCAAGGAGAAGAGAAGCTGAAATACCCCTATCACTCCCCTGGGGCTTGTGTGGGCCAGTAGGAATCGTGGGAATCCTTGGGTGCTGGAGAGGGTCCCAGAGGGTACCAGCTGAAGAAAGGACCATCCAGGGCATGAAGCAGTGTTGGGGGAGATGCCAGAGGAGCCTGCCCAGAGCAGGACCCAGCCAAGTTACGTGAGGCTAAGGGGTGAGAGTGAGAACCCACCACAGATGTGCCCGGCCTGGAGCCACCCTGGCTCCGCACTCCCATGAACCCCATGTCCCTGCACAGTGGCAGCTCCTCTCTCTGTCAGGGGTGCCAGGGTCTCTTTACACAGTTGCCTGTCAAAACTGACCCCTGTATGCAATTCACCTTCTGAAGACATGGCACCACGACCTATGAGGGGACTGGTCACTGGAAATCCAATGGCCCTGGCTCTAGGGACCATCCTCTCCCCAAGCCACACTAGGACAGGGTGGGAAATACTACCGAGTGCTGTAAACTCCCAGTCACCACTGCTCTGGCTCCAGTCCTTGCCCAGAGCACAGGTATCTTGGCCCTCCTGCTCAGGCTCACCTGTCCCCAGACTGAGTGATGAGTCGCCGGCAGGTCTCCATTTGTACATCCAAACCCCGCTTCATGCTGCACATTTCCATGTACTCGTGCAGGTGCCGGTTCATGTCATTCTTGGCCGTGGCCAGCTCCAGCTGCACAATGGAAGCGGTGCAGAGATGAGCCCAGGGTGCAGTGCAGAGCAGGGGGCATGGCCAGATCCTAGGCTGCCACCCCCCATTATCAACTACCTGCTCTAGCAGTTTGTTTCTTCCTCCTCCGGGGACCCACTCCCTCATCTCCCACCCTTTTGTGTCATGTTCTCCCCACTTCCTCCTCCTCCCACCTCTATTTGGTCGATGGTTTCCTGATATTCCTTCTCACGGCTCTTGAACAATGACTCTGTGTCCTTGATCACCTTCTCCAGGCTGTCATCCTGCTGCTGGGGAGAGGAGACAGCACGTTTAGAGGCAGAGAGAAGTCCGACATGAGGAACCAAAGGAAAGAGAGAGAAAGTTAGAAAAAGGACTGGCAGTGTCAGAAAAAGAGGAGAAATAGAAGCAGTGTAGTCAGACAGAATGATAAATAAGGCAGGCAACTCAGTCCCAGCAACTTGGGGTAAAGAGTCCTGAGACTTACCACCTTGGGCAGTGAGCACTTCAACCCAGAAAAAGCCCAGCAATGTTCAGAGGTACCGGAGAGTGCAGAAGATGCACAAACCAAGTCCAAGCACAACAAACCCATCCCCAGAGGGCTTCTGGGGTCAAAAGATGCAAAACAGAAGGAGCTTTGGCTAGACTTCGAGGCCCGAGCTTGGGCTGAGCAGACCACGTTGCTGCCCTGCTCGAAAAGTGGTCAGGTGGGCTGGAGAGGCCAACAGGGGCCTGCCAGAGTCCAGAGGAGCCAGAGGCAGTCTCTCTTCTCAAGGGGCTGCAGCTGGGAAAGGCACCTCTCCCCTGGTGTGCAGGCCATGCCTTTAGCAAGCCTTTCAGACTAGAGGCCTCTGGTCTGTGTAACAGCGAGAAGCAAGGGCCTTCACAAGGATGTGGTAACACGTTCAAGCGAAGGAGTGGGGGAAAAGTACCTGTACAGACCTCTAAGGGATGGAAAGGCTGACGTTTGGTCTTTGAACGAGCACTTCCCCAGGCTCAAGCAGGATCAAGTTTCTCTCCCAAAGAGAAAGTGCAAGCCCAGGCCTGAATCTGATGGAGAACCTGACACTACCGTTACCTCCCCCTGCACCTCTGCAGCTGCAATGGCATATCCTGAGAAATCCTCCCAGAGGAGCAGCGTTTCCTCCGTCTCCTCCCACGTAAGGCTGTCACAGTCATCTTCAAAGTCGTATTCCCTCCTAGAGACAAGGGAAGAGCACCTCAGCACTGAGCAGAAAACTCCTAGCAGGGAGAACAGTAAGGGGCAGAGGGCTGGATGCTGGCTGGGCCCATATCGCAGGCTCTGCCTCTGCCTGCGGGCAGTGCTGTAACTATCGGAGGTCCTGGTCTGGGAGAGCTCAGGCCTGCCCAGAGCTGACAGCTGACAGGGAAGGGACTGACTTTATGGTCTGGAGCCCCAACAAATGCAGGCAATGACTCATAAAACCTAGGAATGGTGGTAACAGGCGGGATGTGGAAGGGATATGCTGCTGTCAGCATGCCACACACCACCCGAAAAGGGCATTGCTATGGATGCGAGGGCACAAGGGAAACTGAAGCGGGCCCTATAGCAAAATATACCTTATCCACACTCCTTATGGGGAGGGGAGTGAGCTGGGAGCACCCTCCCACAGGACCTAGACAGACCAGGAGAGGAAAGCAGAAGCACAGCTATAGGCTATAGCCAGATGCTAGACCAGTTCCCTACCCACAGTACAGGAGGGCTCAGGTCCTGGTCTCCTGAGGGGTCAGACCTACCAGGGCACAGCTGTAGAGCACAGGACATAAGTACCGCTCTGCAGCAGCAACTCCCATCTCAGCCTCTTCTGAAAACAGGAGCTGCAGACTGCTCCTGTTCCCTACCACCCAAACCAGCAGCCTTCACACCCAGGGCACACATGAGGAGCCTGATGCCCAGTGGGGCCAAAAGAGGCTGCTACACCGTGAGGACAAGCACTGCTACAGGGCCTATTTAGGAGAGTGGCTGGGCAGGCCATTTTCCCTGTGCCCACAGCCAGGCCGGCCTCATGTCGTGTCGGGCCACGGAGCTGGGGCGGGGAGCTCAGTGCTGCACTGGGAGCAGGGGAGACAGGGGAGCAGCAGTCAACTTGCATGAGTGTCTTGCTCAATGCAGAATAGCAGAGGTGTGGAGCTGCAGGGGGTGGGCCAGAGCAAGGCTGGACCACACTCACAGCTGGTTTAGCATCCTCTGCATTTCCTCATTGATACTCATGGCTGTGGTCTCATCCTCCTCTTCCTCTTCAGGTTTTCGGGAGGCATCACTCTCTGACAGCGAGGTGTCTTCGTCGCTGACCTGCTTCCGTTCCCGCTTCCGCCCCACTGAGGCTGGGACCTTAACGGGAGACAAGTGCAGAGACTACAGAAACGAGGCCGGGTCCGAGGTCAGGAGTAGGTAGTTGAGAGGAGATGGAGGGAAAAGAAAGGGTGGAGGGACAGAAAGATAGGG